AGATGGGTGAACAGGAGACAGCCCCACCCATGCCTCTGAGGTCTTAACAACACATAAAAGATCTAGAACCGTGACACAACCTGGAGGAAGTTCTACTGTTGCCAGCCAGCCGGGTGAGGTAAAGGCTCCAAACTAATACTGATGTCTAGAAAATAAAGGAGCTGCAGTATTTTTGCACATCTGAGCAGGCTACAGATTCATACTCACTACTATTTTGTTGTACATATTGAGAAAGGAAATAAAGGGTAGCCTTGAAACTATCTAGACCCAGTTCTATCTCTGACCAAGATGAGAAGGAATCTCAGATCACAGAAACTCAGGACTGAAAGTGGATTTAGATTTTGCCTTTACTATGGTCTTTTGAGTTCAAATCCTGACAATTTTCTTGTCTACAAAATGGAGCAGTTATGAAGAGTAAATGAGATGGGACTTGTATAGCTTATATTTTTGGGTCTCTTGCAATACTTTGCGTGTGGTACATTACTTGTTGATTACTAAATTGTTTGACTACTTTATAAAGCTGGTGCAACCCAGTGAAACTGGGCTCAACTCAGTGAAACTGGGTCCAGACAGACAACTGGTTTGGTGACCTTGGATAAGCCATGTTTTCAGTAGCATCAGGACTATGAATCTTGTGGCAGTGTCAGGAACATGAGCACCCACCTACAGGAAAGTGAAAACTTGCTTCTCTTGAATTTAGCATGTGGCTTAAGTCTGTGGCCCCCCGGAGCCAGACATGCTGAGTGTGAACCCTGGTTTACCGTTTACCCCTAACAGGCACTCAGAACAGCGTCTGGCTCAGGTTAAATGCTATGTATGTTTTTACTATTATTACTAGTGTTATTAATTTGTTTACAGTAAAGGAGAAAATATCTGGCCAGCACTGTCATAAAGGAAAGTCATTAGGAAGCATTTGAGAGATGTTTACCACCAGTCAGGAAGGAGAGAACAAATCATTTGAGTCTTGTAGCATCCTGTCACTGGATTTAGCAATACCATAACTTTGAAAATTTCCCAGAAAGAAAGTTCTATGGGACACTTGCAGGGGAGGATGAAAGAGGGGAAGGAGGTTCGAGTGAAATACAATCAATGTGATCACTTATCCATATTCTTTTAGCATAAATGGACTCCTTCCCTCCTCTGTTCAAATGTGGTCAAATCTCTCTTATAAAACAAATAAAGTCTTCTCTTGCTCAGATCACTCCACCCTTCTTTCTGAGAGATAATCTATACTTTCTTTCATGGCTAACTTCCTCAAACAGACTTAAAGTCTACAGACTCCACTCAACATTCCCATTGCCCATTAACTAGCCTTTCTTTAACCCCTTGAGGTCTGGCTTCCTTCTAGGAGCCCCCCACCCCCTTGCAGTCTGCCTCCTTTTCTTTACTTTTTTGAACCCCCTTCTTTTTTTTTTTAGCATCGGGCAGCTTTGGCCACTTGTTTCTTCCTGAAATACCTGCTCCTTTGGCTTCCTTAATTTTCTTCCTATCTTTCTGTCATTCTATTTTCCATCAGTTCCTTTTCCTTCTCCCACCTCTCTGGCTTGTAGCTTTCCCCCAAGACCCTGTTCTCTGCTTCAGGCTTCTTTGCTCAGTGACCACATTCCCTTTTTCTGGCCAGACTGTCCCCACTACACTCCCAAGATCTCCCTCTAGCCCTGACCTCCCCTATACTCAAAGGGTGTGCTTCATTTGACTAGAGGACAACCCATTTGGATATCCTATCATAACATCAAACTCAATGTGCCCCAAAGTGACTTATATTTTGAATTTTGAAAATCCACCATGAAACAAAAACATTTTAGCACAGCACTTGGGGACATGTAATTGGACCTTTCCCCAGAGGGTCCTACCCCTTCAGGACACCTCTTCTACCCACCTTGCAGGTTGCATGGAACCTTATCCTTTATTCTCTTTATATAACTAATCACCAGATTCTGTTTTTCCCCTTCCATGTGTCTCCAGATTTGTCCTTCTTTTTACATTTCATCACCCTGGTTTAGCCTTCCACCCAATACATGCTTATTGGGCACCATCTCCCAGGAACAACTTTAGATCATGGGGCTACATCAAAGATAAACCCAATCACTGCGTTCAGGGAGCTAACAGGCATATCAAGAGACAGCTGAGAAACCAGCAGCCATAAGAGGGTGTGACAGATGTTGAAGATAAGCATGCGGTACTGTGGAGCACAGAGAAGAACTCACAAACCCAGCCCGGGGGCCTTCTGCACACAGGGGATATCAGTGTGGAGTCCTAATGACCTGCAGTCAGCTAAGGATGGTGGGCGGCACTCCTGGCAGAGGCTGCCAAACAGCGTGACCAAAGGGGAAGAGAAAGCCCAGGCCCCGGAGCTGTAGGAGCTGGAGTGGCTCAGAAGATCAAAGTGTTCAAGGTGGGAGCTGGAGGGAAATGAGGCTGCAGAGGATATTCTGGGGCAAGATCAAGGATTCCATAGTGAGGGCAGTAGGGGTTGCTAAGGGTTTTGAGCACTACCACTGCATTACTCCTCAAGGTCTCTGGGAATTGGCTCCAGCTACTTTATCCAATTTTAGATTCCCAGTAACACAGAACCCACACCTTCTGCTCCAAGTGGGGGGGGGGGAAGTTTACTGTTCTCTAAATCATTTACCAAATGCCTCCTATGTGCCAGACACAAATTTGACTCAGGGTATATCCCTAGATGAGTGAGACACAACCCTGCCTCGGTGAGTGGGGCAAAGACCCTGCAACTCCTACAGGCAGTGCAGGTGGTAAGAGCTTCAGCAGAGGTTTTTACAAGGAGCGATGGAGGACAAGGGAGGAACTCTCCAGCTCTGCTCAAAGATTGGGGTAGGGACCAGCCAGGGAAGTCTTCACTGGAGAAGTGCCTATTGAGATGCTTGTTAAAAAATGAAGAAGATTCCCTAGCAGAGCATTGCAAGCACGAGAGAAGCATAAAGAGGAAGAGGCATGCAAAAAAGACTACAAGGTCAGAGCCCTATGGGCAGGTCAGGATGGCAGGGTGCCTGAAGAGACACTCAGCCTGAAAGGGAGGCAGTGAATTTGGACTGTGGACTGTCTCTTGTGGACAAGTGCCTTTGCTTGTTCTGAGCTTCATATTATCCTCCAGTTTCCTTCCCTCTGTTGGTCCTGGTCCTTGAATGGCATTTCTAAGTGGAGCTTAAGACCAGCCAGCTCCGCAAAGCCCTTTTTGCCTTTCCCAGCCCAGTCTTTCCTTTCCTAGTCTCCTTTGTTTTTTTTTTATTTTATTATTTTTTTTTTATTTTATTTTATTTTTTCTTACCTCCAAGGTTCTGCTTGATCCTAGTCTCCTTTGAATGAGCAGATGATATATAATTTTGCACTTAATTGCTCTTTAATTGTTTCACAGTTGCTGGTTTTGTCTTCCCATCTAGACTTCAAAGCTTCTGAACAGCAGGGACTATGCCTCGAACTTAGTTTTGTTGCACAGAGATGAGGACATTGTAGGTGTGGCTCACACATTAGAGGACTTTATGAAACCAGAGCTGGGAAGCATCTAAGCTTCAGAGACTATTAAAGATTTGGATCTGCCTTCTGCATTCCTTTCCACAAAGTTAAGAGTGAAATAAACACATCTGGACTCATAACTGGACATTCCAATGTTTTCTAACTATACAAGTCTGTGAACATGCAGAGACAGAGACAAACAAACAGTACTATTTTCAATTTCAATACTTAGCAAAGCCAAACTTCCCGATGTACAGAAATAAACAAAGAAGGCTCTATGCTAGATATCCCTTCCTCAGGAGGTCTTCCTTCCTCTGAAACAAAGCTAAAAAGTGGGTAGAGAACTTCTCCCAGGGTCCTGCTTCAGGGCTTCCCTTCTTACTGGCTGTGCATGGCACACTGGGGAGTGTTTTCTGCCCACGAGAATAAGGTGAGTCAAGGAGTCCAAGAGATCTTAGACAAACTTTTCAGAGCTCAAATGGGTTGAGTAAATGAAGAGAAATGTGATCAGACTGCACCCCTCTGGCAAGGGCCCGACTGCTCCTGCATGGGCGCTACACCCAGGATCGGTGTGTGAAGACCAGTGTCCTCTTCCAGGCACCGAGCAAAAGCATGTCATTGTGCACTTGCCACACTTGCCATCCCACAGGGCCTGGCATCGAGTAGGTCATTGTTCAGCAAGAGTATCTGAAGGACACTGGGGTTAAGCTGCTTGTCTGAGTTGCATGGTGCTGGATGGATGTGTTCCAAACGCTAGACAACTACACAGCTCACCCTCCACTGGGAGAAGCCACGGCTATCAGTTCCCACCCAACACTGCCTCGGCAGGCTTCCTGGGACAGCACCCACACCCCTAAGACAGTCAGTCAAGCAAACCACAATGAGGTCCCCAATCCACCCTCGCCTCTTAGGAAATGGCTTTCCAATTGCAGTTCTACAGGAGCGTAGCCACTAGGTGATTATCTTCAAAAGGAGATTTTTTCCCCCAGCATAAAGGCCAACAATATTTACCATGGAGTCTTTGCCAGGCCACACTACCTGGTGCTATGTGGTAGGGTGTTCAAGGACTTTTGTTGAGCAGCTCGGTGACTTTCTGGGATTTTCACCGCCTTGCTGGAGGTGGCCATCTAGCTCCCTTTTCCGAGAAAGGCCGTGAGAGCTGACTGAGACAAGCTGCCTGCCCCTCCACGGGTGGAGAGGAAGGTGCCAATGAGGAACCGGACCAGAGGGAACGCTCTGTCCCATGGCGGGGACGCGACCGACTTCGTCACTGCCCAGGTCTCCTCGCGTCCCACCTGCTGGGCACAGGGTGTCCACAAGACACACGTCCCCACCCTGGCCGAGGGGCCCTGCTCTCGCGGGCGCCACAGGACCGACCGCGCCCCGCGGGACAGACGCCTGCGGGGCGAGAGCTGGAACAGCCCCGGGCCCGCACGCAGGGCGGAGAGGCGCCACCGCCGCGGGCAGCCGCAGCCCGTCCCCCCGCCACTCGGCCCGGCGGGCAGGTCCCCTCCCTGCAGGGCGCTCACCTGGGGACGTCGCGCCGCCCGCGGCTCCAGCGGTGCCCTCCGCCTGGGACCCGGAAGGCCCCGCCGCCCGCCTCGACCACGCCCACTCCCGCCTCGGCCACGCCCCCTACACACAGGCCCCGCCCCGGCCACGTCCCACACCCGGCTAGGCCACGCCCACCCCGCCTCGGCCACGCCCCCACCTCCCAGGCCCGCTCCGCCCCGGCCACGCCCCGCCCCGGCCACGCCCTCTACCGCCCAGGCCCTGCCACGCCCACCCCGCCTCGGCCACGCCCTCTACCGCCCAGGCCCAGGCACGCTCCGCCCCGGCCACGCCCACTCCCGCCTCGGCCCGCGCCCGCCCCGGCCACGCCCACTCCCGCCTCGGCCCGCGCCCGCCCCGGCCACGCCCACTCCCGCCTCGGCCCGCGCCCGCCCCGGCCACGCCCACTCCCGCCTCGGCCCGCGCCCGCCGCGGGGACCTTGTGGCTGCAGGACCGCCAAGTGTCCGTTTGCAGGGAAGGATACCGAGGGCTCTGCGGGGTGGGGGCGAGAGGCGCCCGGACTGAGGGAAGGGCTTCCCCTAAGGGCGGCCGGGGCTAGGGTGAAGGGGCAGAGGTCACGCCTCGGCCTCTGCAGACTCCAAAATGTCCTGGAGACCATCCCGGGCCGCACTGACCTTCCGTCCGCCCCCGTCGTGCGGGGGGACCCCCGCCCGGGGACCAGGAGTGCTGTCCAAAGGCACAGCCCAGCGAAGGAGGAGCCCGCCCTCGCTCCGACTCCCAGTGCAGTGCTCCTTCCGCTGTGCCCAAGTCCCAGCCGAGCTCTGGTCGTGTTTGGGAGCTGGGGTGCCGAGAGGGAGGAAACTGCTTTTGTCTGGAAAACCCGGGAGAAGATGGGCCCTTCCTGTCCCGTGAGCACACTGTTCCTCTGCCCTAACTTCTCCTTTCTTTCCCACCTCTGCTGCGGGCGTTGCTACGCTGTCAGTAGCAAACCTGTCAAAAGGAACCTGTCAAAAGAAAGAAATGGACTCCCCAGAGGCTCGTGCAACCAAAGGGTTAAAAACAGATTTCATCAAAAAGTCGTGGAGTGGCTTTCTGGGGTGAAACCCAGTTCGAGGACCCGAAATGGCACGTCTTAGAGTAAGACTGAGCTTGGGGGTGGGGAACAAAGACTGCAGGTGGAAGAGCTCCTCCCCCCCCAAGCCCTACCTGCCATGTGGGGTGTAATAGGATCGGGCAGGGCGGGAAAGACAGGTGTGAAACAAAGCCTGGCACTTAATTACAGCACAAGGAGCTCATTATAAAGTCTTCTCAGCTCCCCTTCTTGGCTGGCAGCTGGAAGCCTGAGTGGCAAATGACCTCAAGTAGGTCTCCAAGGGCTGCACTTCAAAGAGGGATGAAACCACCTCCCTGTCCCATTGCAGGGGCTCTGGAGAGGGCGGGCGTGTCACCCTGGCACTGTGCCGGGTGGGGGTCTGTCAGGGCACTGGGGCACAGCGGCAGCTGCAGCCACAGAGGCCCACTGCGGCCTAACTGCACCTGCTGGGGCAGCCCTGCGCTCCCTTTCCTGTCAGTAAACCGGGCGAGGTGCAGAGAGCTTGAGGTGGCTCATTTGCCCGCATCGCAGGTAGGCCTGGCTCCTCACACGTATGCTGTGGCTCTGTGGGGGAGGGAGGAGCATTATGGCCTCCCGGGGACTTCCAAAGCCCCTTCCCCAGGGTGGCACCTGGTTTGGGTACTGGTGTCAGTCACGGGCTCCAGGGATTTATGTCAGACCTGGAAAGACTCTTAGATGCTGTCTACCTGGCCATGTCTTTCAACCGCTGAGGTCATCGAGGGAGGTGACAACTTCTGCCTGAACAGCCAGGACAGCTCATGTGTGGCCCTTAAAGTGAGCTTCCATTGTCTTTCTCCAGTGCATGCAGGGCAGGAGACTGGGACCACTGAAGTCCAGAGCACACACCTGCAGGGCACTCCGTGGGGCTCGCAGGCAGAGCCCTCTGGAGGTTCCTATCGTTCTCCTATAGTAAGGCCTGAGTGGCTTCCCTGGGCACTGAGGATAAAACCCAGGTTCTAGATCGAGGCCCTGCAGTCTGGCCCTGCCCGCTTCTCTGGGCCTGTTCCCCCAGCACTGCCCCCAGGCCCCAGCCTCACCAGCCGTCCTGCACTTACTTAGGGTCTTCACCCTTATTCCTCCCGTGACTTTGCACGGCACACTCCTGTGCATCCTTTAGTTCCCTCTAATGTCACTCCCTCAAAGAGAACTTCCCTAACCCTGACCCTGAAGTCGCAGTTTCAGACATAGCTGCAGAGTGGCCAAGACCGCACTGTAGGGTGGTGCATTCTTCAGACTTACTGTCAATCAAAGAGGTCCAGAGGGGGGCATGTGTTGGCAGAGGGTACACGTGCTTTTCTTCTAGCCATGTTTCATTGTGCTGCCTGACAATTGCAATAATAAGAAAGTGAGATATACTCCTTTCCTTCCTCTCTGCTGATGTCATGAGCATGAATTATTCTTTGCTCTCTCCATCTTCATCTTCAGTAAATTTGTTGCTGCATTTGTGTCGGGGAGCATGTCTCAGAAATCTCGAGGAGGGCCTGGTGAGACCCATGTGTCGTGCGTTTTTCACCAACACTCATGCTTCCTTCAAGGAGCAGTCATAAGGTACAGCATGTTGGGGGCAGCCTCTCCTATCAGACCAGCTACTGTCACACTCAGGAGCCTGCAGTTTCGTGGATCTTGGGGGAATCTGCCCTTCGTGACCAGAAGCTGCGTGGTTTTATACCGCCTCCTTCTGGTGGCCTTCAGGGATCCCAGGGGCCTGTGTGGCTTTATGTCACCCAGACTTGACTCTCTTCTCAGTAGTCAAGTTGCAAAACAACCTCAAGTGTTATTGTAATTTTGATTCCTCGAAAAACCATACTGTGGCAAAAAAAAAAAAAGGTTATGTGATCTAGAAACAATTTGACCCTGTTGATGGCCATATCTCCAAGCTGTCTTCTCCATTTGTTTCTGACCTTTTTATCGCTGTTCCTCATGAGACCCAGAAATATCATTTTTTCTGTTAAATTAGTTCTCTCGTCCACTTCCATGATCTGGCCGTCCTCGTGTTTCCAGTCTGAAGGTGGGGCCATCTCGAGGCTGTGATGGGGGACTGCTTCACCTTCTACAGTTGGTGGACACATGGGCTTATCCAGATTGTCCCTTTGAGATTTCTCTTGTAACTAGTGTTTTTTTGTTTGTTTTTTATCTTTAGTCTTATCAACATTGTCCTAGCCCAGGCCCTCATCTCTTCATTCATTCATTTGAAACCTATTTATTGAAATCTGACTCTGTGGGACAGAGTATTTGAGGCAGGCCTGTAAGGATATCAGCTTCTTCTCCCCACAGAGCCAAGTCCCTAAGATAGGGTCGCCACAGAGGATAAGGAAATTGATAGGCAACAGAGAGAAATAAAAGAATACACAGAGACTAAGGGATAGTTTATAGTTTTATATATATATAAAGATCAGATATAACACAGTGGGGGTACTTAGGAGACTGGCGTATCTCCACAAATGCCAGCAATATGGTTAGATTCATACAGGTTTTTATAATCACACACCAATTACCAGTTGTCAGGGTAACATATTTGTGTATCAGGGAATGCAGTTGCTAGAGGATACAGGTAGTGGGTTAGGGTCAAAAGTCCTCTCAAGGGGCTTTTAATCTATCTAGGTAAACAAACAGGTACAAAGTCTTTCAGGGGCTAGCTTCTAAGTTCCAAGAAGTAGTTGTCAATTAACAGAGGTAAAATAAAAGAGGTATAGTGACTCTATATATCTTTGATTAGTTATGGTGGACTTAAAGGTAGACAGACGGGAGAGAGCAGGAAGCCCATCTCTATAAAACAGGGCATCTCTGGGCAAAGTGCACTCATTGTCTCCGGCTCCCATCCTGTGAGCCATATTTGCCTTGTCTTGTCTTTCAAGACACAGGGAAGCTCACAGATTTTGAGATACTGGGAATCCTTCCTGGAAAACATTCCTACCAGAGATTTGAGAGCTCTGCCAGGATATCAGCCTCTAATGTGAACCTTTGAGTGAACCTTTGAGTCCACACATTCCTTTAGGGAAAAACCCTGCAAACTCCTGTTTCTGTCTTTAATATAGTAATATTGGGTTATACAATAAAATAATGATCTTATGAGCCACATTTCATTAATTCCTCAATCATCTTTTCCCAACATGACTCCATATTGACATGAGATTGAAGCCTGCTAGACCTGCATTCAAAGCCATGTTCTCTTGTTCCCTAGCCATGTAACCTTCGATGAGTTTTTCAATCTTTATAAACCTCACTTTCTGATCTGTAAAATGGAAAGAATAATTTATACCTTATCAGGCTGTTTTCAGGATTATCATGGTCTGGGACCTTTCTATCAATTTGACTCAAACTGAGTTCAGCCTCTTTCTTTGGATAATTTTGAAGGTAGAATTGCCTTCCTTTGCTTCTTTAAATATTTACTTTATATTTTCCCTACTCTGACTGGAGGGAGAGTTTTGCTACCTTGAGGATAATCCTTGAACGACATTGTACTCGACAGTCCCTCCAGAGATGCAAATAACCTTCAAATCCCTGAGATGGAGGTTTTAGCCACCTCTTAGGCCTGGTGTGAAGTTCAGCTTTTCCTTCCTACCAGGAGCCAGTGGTTATAGAATTATGGAAAGCTCCTCCAGAGAACATGCTGCCCACTTGTAGAAATCTGCCTGAGCTACATGGATTCAGCCAGAGTCCATTTATATAATGCCAAATGAGAGTTTGCCACACACCGAGAACTCTAGCAGCCCCAGATAAATAGCTCTGCAAGGAGAAAATGCAAATTATGACTTAAAGTCAGCCTTTACTTTTGTGCAGTGCATACCAATGTGGCTTTATCCTTTAGCTAGTACAATGTAGCTACTACTTCTTTTATGCAGATATATGCCTTGCATGAATTTGTTTCCCAAGACTTCTGGAAAAATAAATTAGACTATTAGCTACTTGGTTTCCTCTGTAGAAACCCAGCAGGCACAACAGGGTGAGACCTTGAGTCT